CCTCAGCTAGTCCAGAGCTTTGCTGCTGCTCCCTGGGGTTGCCAGAGATTGGGGGAGACGGCCGGGCTCTGCACCTGCAGTGGGATCCGCAGCCGGTGCCAGCCCCTCCTAAGGAGCAAGCACAGGCAGGCACCGGGGCAGCAAATAGGGACCGTGTGTGGTTCATGGCACCACCCCAAACCCATCCTGCAGCATTGTTATTTCCCTGTTACCGCCTCAGCCCTGTAACCAACACCGGAAACCCTGACTCTGACGTGATCACAGACTGGTCAGGGTCGGAAGGGCCCTCTGGAGCTCCCCCATCCCACCCCCCGCCAGAGCAAGGGCACCTCCAGCAGTGGCACAGGACGGTGTCCAGGCGGGTTTGGGATGGCTCCAGAGGGGGAGACTCCCCCACCTCTCTGGGCAGCCTGTGCCACTGCTCTGCCGCCCTCACAGCAGAGAAGGCCCTCCTCAGGTGGAGATGGAACTGCCGATGGTCACCTTTGTGCCCATTCCCTCTTGTCCTGTCACTGGGCACCACTGGACACAGACTGTTCCCATCCCCCCGGCACCCTCCCTTTGGGGATTGATGAGCATTGATAAGATCCCCCTCAGTCATCTTTTCTCCAGACTGAACAGCCCCAAGTCCCTCAGCCTTTCCTCGTAAGAAAGATGCTCCAGTGCCCCCATCATCTCCGTAGCCCTTTGCTGGACCCTCTCCAGCAGTTCCCTGTCCTTCTTGACCCGGGGAGCCCCGAACTGGACACAGTGCTGCAGATGTGGCCTCCCCAGGGCAGAGCAGAGGGGGAGGATGACCTCCTTCCACCTGCTGGCCACACTCTTCTTGATGCCATTGGCCTTCTTGGCCACCAGGGCACATTGCTGGCTCACGGGCATCCTGTTGTCCCCCAGGACTCCCAGGTCCCTTTCCACAGAGCTGCTCTCCAGGAGGTCCCAACCTGTACCAGTACATGGGGTTATCCCTCCCCAGATGCAGGACTCTACACTGGCCCTTGTTGAATTTCATAAGGTTCCTCTCTGCCCAACTCTCCAGCCTGTCCAGGTCATGCTGTAAGGCAGCACAGCCTTCCGGTGTGTCAGCCACTCCTCCCAGTTTGGTGTCATCATCAGACTTGCTGATGGTACACTTTATCTTCATCAGTCCGATCGCTGGCAGCTGGATCTGCCGGCCGTAGGACCAGCGGGTTGCCGTTACACAGCGTTGTGCTGCCTGTTTTAAGTGCAGAGCTCTCACACCATTACCAAAACCAAAATCTCGGTGGCTGTCCCTGTCCTCGGCCCCTGCAGTGTCATGGCTTGTGTGAGCCGGGGCAGTGGTCGGGGTAATCACGACTCTGAAACTCCCGAGTCTTCCAGTTCAGGGTGGCACTAGGCTTAGCGCTGGTTGGCGTCGCTTGCCGGCAGCAGGTTGGGTAGCAGCAGAGAGAAAACAGAGTTAAGACAGAAACGGCAGCGGCAGAGGATGCTGGGGGAGATTTTTTTTGGGGGGGTGAAGGAGTGTCATTTTGCCTTTCACGCAGGTAAAGGGAAAAGGCAAACAGTCCTGGGAGAACGGGGCCATAACTGCAGCTCTGAACCCCACGGCAGGTGAATGCCCGGGGCCGTGTTTGTGAACGGCGGTTGATCCCAGCACTACCCCTGGACTTCAACCCTTCCGGCCAGCGGAACAGAAGGTGTTTCTCCTGACGGCCTTGTCCTCTGCAAACACCCAGCTGCCACTGACTTTCCCCAGGCCAAGGTGAATCAGAAGCACCCTTTTGCTTCCAAAAAGCAGTTTCCCCCGGAATAAACCACACCAGGGCAGGGGCAGCTCCCGTCCGAGCAGCTGCAGAAGTGGCTTAAACTGTGTGAATCCCCCACCTCAGTCTGAGTTACCGGAGACTGCGCATGGTGGCCTTGTCCTTGTGACCACAGCAGGGAAACGTCGGGCACCACGAGGGACATGGGGAACCGAACCCTACCAGTACGTCCCTGTGACTCCCAGCAGATGTTTCCCTGCCCAAGCCCCAGCAGACCGAAGAGGGCTGTTGCTGGAGGGTGGCAAGCAATGAAGGTCCCTTTGTCCTTCCACTCCCGTGTCAAGTCACCTGGAGAAGCCGTTTCGGTGCTGCCACCCGCCGGAGCGTCGGCCAGCGCAGCCCGGAGCTCCTCCACCCACCCGGCCATGGCTCCCTCGCTGCTGGGCCCCTTCTCACGTCCTTTAAAAGCAAAACCTTGAAGGCACACGGGCTCTGCAGAGCTTTCCACATGGTAAAAGTTGCCTCCAGCCTTCCCCCCTCCCCCCCCAGCCAACAGCAGCTCTTGGCTTGGCTTTTGTTAATGAATGTTGCAGCTCAGCCCATTTGGGAAGCGGCCCAGACTGCAGGACGGCTTCGGAAAGAGCAATGAAACAGCAAAACCCTAAAGCGGGAAACGGAGGCACTGGGTATTTAACATCACTTTGACGAGATGCCACAGCTCCTCTGTTAGTGAGGACCAGGCTGTAAGGAATGAGGGTCAGTCCATCCGCTTTCTGACTTCTAAACCCCACTGAAATAAACCATTCAGTTCAGGGAAGATGAGTTTCTTTAACGCTCAGAGCCTCACGCGTCCATTCCCAGCAGAGGTACCGATCTCCCCTTAACCCCAACCCAAGGAACCCCAGGCGGGGGGGTGGCTCGGGCCCTGCGGTACGCCCCGTCCTACTGAGGTCACCCGATTAAAGAGCAGCACTTTTGCAGCAGGGCGAGGAGCCACGCACGGCGGGAGTCCCCGGAGAGTCTCCTGGCAAAACCAAACCCAATAAAATCAAACAGTGTCTTCAAGGAAGAGAAAGGCGCTGAGTCAGGCTCCCAAAGGGAAGCACCCGCGCGAACAGAGCACGTTTACACGCACGTGGCCAGGTAAAGGGCTCTCGTGTTTCTAAGATCTCCACTTGGACAACCAATTCTTTCTGCCAGATCACTCAGCAGGACACTCGACACTAATGCTCAGAGCAAAAACCACTATAGCAACAGCCAAGACAGCTTCATCAGCAGCAAATATGACCTTCAGCAAACAAAAAAAGCCCTGTGGGTTCGTTCCACGCGTGCCTGTGAGCAAGGAAACCCATCATCCATGCAGCAAACTCAAAAGCAGGAGAGTTGCTGAACACAGGACTGACAGCAGAGACAGATCCACTGCGGGATCATAGTTTTAAATGTAAAGTTTTCAAATATTTCCAGGAATTGCAATGATCTTGCAGGAGGAGTTTTGAAGCAGCCAGCTGGCGAGGAAACAGTGCTTTGGAGCAGGGGACAAGCTCCCGTGCTGTGCACACAGCAGACAGAGCTGCACCGAGCAGTGATCGCACCCGAATCCTCCAGAAACAGCCTTTTCTCGGGGTTTCAACGTGCCCAAGAGAAGCAGAATCTGCAATACAGCATGTTACAGCCGCTCGGTCACTCCGGCTGCTTGAACGACTATCGGGGAAAGGCTGACCTCTTCCAGGAAAAGCACTGGAGAAACGTAGAGAGAGGAAGGGCAGGCAGAGCGCAGAAAGATGTGGCCCAGACTTGCAGGGGGAACCAGCAGGGCAGCTGAGGAGCAGGTGGGGACAGTGGAGATGGCAGTGACACAGCCACGTCCCCGCAGAGGCTGCTGGAGGGGGACCAGCACGCTGCTGCCGGCAGCCTTCGCTCCGTTTCCCGGGCTCCCAACCGGCTGGTTCAAGGGCTCCGGACACAAAACCATCTCCTCTGGAGACCCTTCCCAGCAGAGAGAATGGAGCATTTTGCTGTGGACAGCTTTAAAATCCTTCCAGGAAACACATTTCTCACACAACTGCTGTGGACTCTGCCTGCCGACCCGGTTGAACTCCGTTTAGCAAAATCGGGACAGAAGAGGCAGGGGACCACACGCAGAAGGGCTCAAGGCTGGGGTCAGCATTCTGCCTGTCTGCACGGACTAGGCAAGAATCACAAGTCCTTGCCAGACCAAACTTAAGGGAAAAAAAAAAAAAAAAGAGAAAAAAAAAGAGAAAAAAAAAAAAGGCACAGGGGAAACACAAAGCTACCAAGCACTGCATGATGAGAAACATCTAACAAATAAATCTAACATGATGCTGCAATAGACACCTACAGTTATTCTCACAGGATTTGTACTGATGAAGAATTAACACTAATACTATTAACAGTCTTTTTAGAGCTAGCTCGAACTAAAACAGAAGATTTTTCAATAGAAGACTACACTGATGTGGACAGCACATATTTGCCAGAAAAAAGAGAAAAAAAAAAAAGAGAAAAAAAAAAAAGAGAAAAAAAAAAAAGAAGGCGTTAGTGCCAATCATTCACACTGTGCATCAGGGGGGAAAACCCACCCATGACCCCCTCCCTGCCATCCTCTGCCCGGGGTGGGGGGCGAGGGAAGGTCAGGGGCAGGGAATGGAGCTCTGCGGGTTATCGGCTGAGTTTTTGTAGTGAGATTACAAAAGTGCAAAACTGGTCCTTCAAGTCACAGGGGCAGAGACTGCACCAGCCCCCCTCCCCAAGAGGATCCTGTCCCGCCATCGGGGACAGCAGCCGCTTCGGAGTGATTCTTGAATATTTTCTAGCAGCAGCCGTCTACGCTGCAGGGAATGAGTTGGAAATTCTCTCCCCCCAGGGCTCAGTTTTTTCAGAGCTCAGTTCCAGCATCACCCCTCCAGGGAGGTTCAGGTTTCCCTGCATGCAGACAGGCACTTCCTCAGAGGCTCCTTTATTTGCACCCAGCTTCCCCCACGCCCCACGCACCAGCCCGGCATTCAGCCCACTGAACAATCCGCCCCCGGGCACGGGGCAAGCGCTGCCAAATAGCCAAAAATATCCCTGGGAAAGCAGGGATCAGCAACCCCCACCTCGCCTGGCCCAGCCTCCCTCCGCTGAGGGATGCTCTCCCCAAACGGATGCAAGCGGGAAGGTAAAAGACACGGCACAGGTAAAGAGCACATCTTTTGCTTTATAAAAAAAAAAAGACCGAATCAGACATTGAAGGCCAAGGAGTGCAAAAGAATCCCATAAGACACCACAGGTGCACCAGCTTAAGGGACCATCGAGTTGACGGTCTTCCTCTTAGTGAGTTTTTGGGGTTTTTTTTTGGTTTTTTTTTGCCAGCTTAATCCATACACATTCATTCTTCGTCCACAAACTAAACATTAAAAAAAAAAAAAAGTCCTATTGCATCTGTAATAGCGATCGGCAGCTCTTTCGCCCCTCGTCTCCAAAGCTCCAGTGCGCAGACCACAGAGCAACGTGTCAGCGTGACCCATGCTGACGCCTCAGTGCACAGGTTTAAGTAAACTTGTCCAAATACGTATGTACAAATCCATTCAGAAGCAGGAAGCCAAACGGGTCCATCAGTACAGGCGGCATTCAGAAGGAGGTGAACCAAACACAGCTCCTCTGGGAGTCCCGGGCTGGCCCTGCTTCAAGTCTCTTCTTTGCATAAATGGGATTTTTCACAAACCGACAGCTTTAAAAACAAAGCGAGGAGGGGAAGCCAAATCCAAGTCTCAGTCTCTCCCCTTTATTTTCCAAATCGCTCTCTGTCAGCGTCTCAAGGTGTGGTCTCAGTAATGTCCGTGATTTATGAAAGCATGCTCTGAAATGCAAGCGGTTTACAAAACCAGGCTCTAACAGGGGCTTGAACTGTACATTTCAAAGGGCTTTGGCTGGTTAAGTAAGCCCGACTGCTCATGTGAGGAATTAAATCCTTTCCCCCCTACCCAACCTTTTGAAGAGTAATCACGGGCTATGAAATAAAGGCACATTTTCAGTTCAATTAAGGCACATTTCAGTCCAATTAAGGCACAAACCCATGGTCCACACCAAGGCACGGGGCCTATTTTGGCTTCCCTCTCCCCCAAAAAGCAGTGGGCGTGTTTATTCTACGGCTGGTAAATCCAACTAAGCATTTTCTATTCATGTCCAAGGGCACCTGAATGTATAAACAAGTCCCATGGCTTCACGTGTTTACTTTATGATAAACAACCAAGTGGCAACACCAGTAAGATACAGCTTCCTCCTGCTGCAATGCTGCAGCCCTCAAGGTCGCCTGGCGCCGTGCCCTCGGGGTAGCGACACCGCGTCTCCCGCTTCCACGACTGGCTGGTAGAGAGGAGCAAAGGGAAGGAGAAGGCGGCGCTGCGTGCCCGCAGGGGAAAGGCAGGACCGAGCAGACCCTCTGCAGACGCTCTGGGGGGAGGCTTTCCTTTCAGTGCAAGGCACTTTTAAGGGAGTTTCTAGAAGAATGGTGAACCAGCTCCATTTTTAATTGCAAAAACCTAAAAATGAACTGACTATTTCCTTCACCTGGCATAACCCGAGTTCAAGGCTCGCCCTGGCAGTCAGCGTGACCGGCGTCGAGTGCAATCGGTTACACCTCACGCCCGCAGTTCACATCAGACTGGCAGTGACTGCAAAGCTGCTCCCCACGGTCTGCTCGGGAGATGCGAGTGGCGCAGCTGTCCAGACATCCCACCCCTCTGCAATTAGCACTATCTCGGAGACACGCCAAGAGGCCAAAGCTTAAACGAACCGCATTACCTGAACCTTCTCCTTACAACGCAGCAGGAGAGGACACCGCTAAGGGGCAGCAGGAAGGCGGCAGCTCTGGCTACTGCAAACACCATGGATAGAGGACTTCTGGTTTTGGGACCAACCCCGCCACTCGAAAAAGAGATTTGGGTCCCTAGGGAGCAGGTGCTTGGCCTTCACCTCAGCATCGGCACAAACACAGAGACACCATCCAGTTATTCCCTACCCAAGTTAACTTATGCAATGCCAGAAAGCAACAAATGTACAACAGATCCTCAAAACAGGGAAAGGGAAAGGGAAAGGGCCACCGAGGTTGAAGCTACATGTGAACTGTGGAAATCATAGAGGCACAAGGTGTCTGATACTTCCTTGTCCATCTTCTCCTCCCTGGGCACACATTACACCTCCCAAGTTCATCAGCTCCACAGTTCACTTCCTTGATGTTCTATATTGTCCAAAAAAAAAAAAAAAAAAAAAAATTCCAGTGAAATTCAGACAGCAGGAGAAATTTGGCTTCAACAAAGGATGAGGGCAGACTGGGGGGGAAAAAAAAAAAAACAACAATGTGGCATGGCACACTCCATATTGAAAGAGGAGAAATGTGATTGCAGCAAAGCCTCGAAACGCCTGCCTGCTGCTGGGGTCCTGTTCCTTAACAATACACCTGAAGCAGAGGTGCCCCAGATGAGTCAGTCTCTGTGTCTTGAAAAGAGGAATCTCTGCTTGTTGGAGAGCCTTGGAGAGGAAAGAGAAGAGATGGTGACATTAGACAAGGTGAACTATAGCAGCCGAGTGCCTGGCAGTTAGGCAAGCAGCTGCCACAAAAGGCTTTGTGTATCATGAGGGAGGAGAAAGCCACACAAAGCCCACAGGCAGGGAACAACCCTGCCTGTATTGTAACCATCTTCTAGGACAGATCTGTTATTACGCAGGAGAAAACTTGTCTTTTAGCCCTGGGCTGCTCTTTGGAGCGGAGCATGCACGCCGCGAGGATCGGAGCTCAGGGGACAGCCCGTCACTCTGCCCTGCTTCCCTTTTGCACAGTTCCTTTTGTTCCCAGTGTAACCCAGCTGTGACCTCAGCTGGTCACACCCCAAATACAGCCCCAAACTTTGTCAGGATACCCAGAGACTGAAAGCTCTCAGGCCAAGTACTGTGCGTGGATAGAGAACACTCCAAACTTGGGTTTCATCCTTTTTCAGAAGCACCCACCAACCCAGAGAGTCTTCTGAGCTCCCTTCACTCCCAAAGCTTGAGAGAACTATACCCCTTACAGTAACCTAAGAGGCAGGTGTCAGCTCAGCCTTTGCGTACGGTGAAAACTGAAGATATACGTAATATGGGAAGTTCAGAGCATTCCCCTCACTCCTGCGACGCTGCTGCAGCTAAGAGCCCTGGCCAGGTACGTTACCTGCGCTGCTGTGCCGCCTCATATTCCTGGCTATCACATCTGCTGGTGTTTCTTCCGATATTTGCACGGCCAAATCTGGAACAAAAACCAAGAGGGCCTGAGACAGGAAAGGATGGGCAGCTATGACTCAAGAATAAAGATCCCTGTCAGGGAACGAACAGGGCTCTCCTTCAGAAGGCACCACCCTCAGGTAACAGGAGAGGTAGAGTCTGATTATTCAGATTGCTTCCACCATTGTTTTGGTAATCTGAGCTTTATTAGTCCCTAAATACCAGGAAGCAACAGCAGCTTTACTGCTAAACTGGAAAGCACAACAGCCACCCGGTTTGCTCCATGGATTTCTCCTTGCCCCGCGTACTCAGCTTTTCAAGGTCTTTCAACAACAAACTCTCTTAGAGCCTGTTCTGGAGGTCAGTCACTTCAGGCTGCTTCAGACAAGGAGGAAAGTATCCCCGAAACAGCCATGAGGCGCTTACGCTGGGGCAGCAGCCCTTCCCTCCTCTTTGCAGGGATATTTACTGGCTGCTCCTCACCCCACTGTGCAGAGGAAGTCTCAGCTCCAAGGAGGCACTCTGTCACGGGAGTCTAAGGGTGGCATTAGCAAAGAGCGCTGGTAGAACACAGGGGAGAGAGCCAGCTTACTAACTGGACATCTTCTGGCACAAGCCAGCTCGTCTGGTCATACCAGTTAAGTTTGACTCACGGTCTTTCCGCCTAGCTTAGAGGTGCGGAGGAAAGCCAGAATCATTGCAGTAGCAGCAGAATGAGCCCTTATATTGCTCAGCACAAACTTCACTGACAGTGAAAGATTCTTATCAAGAAAGCCACAACGCAGTGACGGGTGAGCAGCAGAGGTCTCCATAAGGATCTCCACTCACACATCCCAGAGAAATAAGCCCAGCCTGAAGACAGACATCAGCTTTCAACCCTGCTCCACTGCCACATGGAGCAAGGCTTTATCCGAGCACAGGCTTTGATAAAATAACCCTCTCGTATTGAAGCGGTAACACCAAGGAACCTGCACATACCGTCTTGGCTGGTGACCATGGACTCTAGCATGGTTTCATTACCGCTGTCTGGTGCGTTGCCTCTGCTGGACTTCTCCTCGTGGCTCTGGCTGGCTGGGATAGAAATATGGGGCCGGACCCTGCTTTTCCGGGTGCTGATGCGTATGATGCCTCGGACCAGCCTGCATTCAGCATCCTGCTCGTCCAGGTTGTAGTCCTGAGTTATGCTATTGATGAGGTCCGAGATCTTGTTGGTCTTCTCCAGGAAGACCGTGTCTGATGTGCACTTAGCCAGCTCATCGATCTGGTGGACGCTGAAGAGCTCCGTCAGTTTCTTGAAGATCAGGACGTCGATCTCCCTGCTGGACATGGAGCCGTTCAGCTCACTGATGTCCAGGTCAGACTCATGGAAGGAATAATACTCCTCCGAACTCCGGTGGCTGCTGGGGAGCGGTGGCTTTTCTATGCTGTTCCTGAAGGGCTTCTCTGGCAGCAGCTCTTTGCAGCATGAATCCGATTCCAGGTGGCTGAAACTACTACCCATGCTGGACTTTTTGATCTGGTTCCCATTCTTCTCAGTGGGAGAGACGTTGGCGGGGCTGTTTGGCAGTCGCCCATTATAATCTCCGTTCTTTCCGTCATCAGTGGAGGTCTCAGCGGGCCCCGCATAGGGGATACAGACACTGCAGTCCTGAAAGCAGCCCCCACAGGTCACTATACAACAGAAAACAGCCTTGTATGTGTTCCAGGCCTGAGACAGAGAGGAACAGCAGAAGCTCTGGTTTGGGGGAGCCTCTGCTGTACCAGAAATAAAGGTAATTGTTTCTGCCTCTCTCCCGTTAGAGTCTTTGAGGTCAGCTTTGCGACCTTTCCTATCCCGCATCTGCTGGGCTCTGGTGCGGCTCTGTTTGATTTCAGGCGTAGAGCCGCTGAACACCTCCAAACTGACATCCGTCTCCTTGGATGGTCTGGTCCGCAGGGGCACAGCCTCCTGGTAGGACTGGTTCAGCTGGCGGTGGCTGTTCAGGTCGTGGGGGAGTCCTGTTTTCCGGCCCAGCATGGCTCACCGCTCAGGCACCTGGAGAACAAGAAGGTCTCAGGTCAAGCATTCGTCATCAGTCTCACCTGAGCGAGCTGTTGATCAACAGAGAAGGACCTAATGTTCAAATTCAGTGATTCTCAAATTCAACATTTCAATTATTTACAGAAATATTTTGCATTGGGACTCACGCTGTTCTCACTTGTCACATAGAGAGGGAATCCAGCGTTTCAGGGTTCTCCGACTACTCTAGTTCTGCTGCTTCCTTTCGGTAGATGCTTGAATCAGAAGGTAGATGTTTTAAAAGGACTATTTTTAAGACATCAAAATCCCTGTAACCTTCAGAATAGGTTTCCTCAACGTAGCTGGAAGAAGAGTCAGGCTCCAGAGCCGCTGCTCCAGAGCAATAAATGAGCAGCACAGCCGTAGGTGGAGCCAGCTGACAGGCTCCAAGGGGAAAGTATCTTCTTTTAAACAACTTCCCCTTTGTTTTGCATTCCTTCAGATTAAGCTGGGCCCTGACAGCACTTACCCGTTTCAAAACACACTGTGCCAAGGAGGAGATGACAAGCAATCAATCATTATGCAAGCTGCCAATTCAGACTCCAGATTATTCAATGTTATTTAAATTTAGAGGATTTAGCAATGACAGCGTTACTAACACTGATGATTTTTGCTAGTCATGCTAAGACTGTGTTATGCTAAAGACTTCCCTATGAAAACTGATGTCTTCATCTGGATTAAAGAAAAGACCTTGTCAACAAGTCAGTCTCAAATCATGCCTCATGGGAGCAAAACCTTTACAAAGCCCTACTACAGAAACCCTACAGCAGACTATCTGCTCGACTGTTTTTCTCATTGCCACTGTACTAACACAACTGCCCCAGGTCTGCACGCAGGAGTAAACTGTTTTTCCAGGGTACTATGTCACACTTTATCTCCACAGATCCCACACGCAGAGTTTGGCACATCAAATCTCCCTATTATGAGGAAAGCTTGGCACCGGGCGATGGCGAGGAACGTCAGGACAAGGCTGTCACTCTCCACTTCTATTGCTGCCGCTTTTATCCCAGACTATGGCGGGCCCCTAAATTGTCCATGGTTTCTAAGCTTCTTGGCTAACACTGCTTTCACCCCCAAGAGATCCTTTTAAATACTAATTAAGCTAATTAATAAGCAGTGAAAGCCCAGCCATAGCTTAAGTGTTTTTGGACTGTGCCTGCTGCTCTACTATATACTTTCTATAGGGCACCTCAAGCATGTATAAATAAATCTGTCCCACCTTGTAAGAACATTTTTCCTTTTTTTTTTTTTTTTTTTAAAAAAAACAAACAGTAACATTGCCCCCACAAAGAAACAGGCACAGACTGAAAACCCGGCAGTTACAGCACACCACTGCTTTCCAGGAATATTTTGGCTCCATTAGCTTATAAAGATCCGTAAGTAGCGCATGTCCCAGGAGCTCCCTCTGCACATTCCTGGACAATAGCCCCAGACGGTCCAATTTCAGTGCTGAGCAGGCAGAGCTCCCTAGACTCAGCATCAGTGGAGAGTTGATTGCTTTCACTTCAGAACAACAGGGGTTTTTTTCCTCAGCTTCATCATTTTAGTAATGCAGGTCAAAATATAAAAACAAACCAAAACCATTTGAGCTGTGTAAGCACAGAACTGCTTACTGGGGTGTTTCTTTTAACACTGAGGCCTCATCAAGAGATCTAATGTATGCATTGCACAGTAACTATCGTTTATATAACAATATATAATATTCTGAAATTTCAAGGCATCTTTGACATAGGGAAGAGCATCATCTCAGCTCTACAGAAAAAGTCTTGCAGGCTCAGAGATTAAACCACTTGCCCGACAGTGCACAAACCCCCAGCTGCATCAGGTGTCAGAGACACCTCTGACCCCGAACACTGAGCTCGCCTCCTCCCCATCATGGCTTGCATTTCTGCAACCACAGGATCACACGCCTGAAGAGTTCCTTGGGAACGCATACAAGACACAGCTCCTCGATCCAGCCGCTTCTCTGGCATAAGCGATGGACTAGACTGAAACCCGCAGCCAGCTGCTCAACACAGCTGTAAACAAAAACTTGGAGTAAAATCCACAGCCGAGTTCATACTCACAAGATCGTTGGGAGCTTTCTCTGTTCTCACGCAGGCACCGTGTGTGAATAGAGAAGATCCTTCTAAAAAACTTCAACATCTGCTTCAGAAGAGCGAGGAAGGATTCACAAAGAGTTTGCGTGTCTAAGAGTTAGCCGGGGTCCAAGATCTTCATTGTTCAGAAGACAGGATTTCCTTTGAAAGTTTTAAAAAAGTTAAATTCAGTTGTGAATCTACTTAATAAAGTCACATTCGTCTGCCAAAGACCACATTGCCACTGCTGTTAGAAGCTAGGGAAGTCAAAGCATTAAATTAAAAAGGGGCAAGAGGACCTAAATTCAGGATACAAGATTTACACATAGATACAACTTCTAAATATATAGGAGCATCAGTAGCTGTTAAGTTTTCTAAGCTGCCTTGCCAGGAGCTGAAAGCTGCCCTGTAAAGCTCTGGACTCCTCACTATCCTGCTTGCACCAGGCAGCGATAGAGACCCAGGCCCAGAGTAACAGGGAAGCAGTGTCTTCTCCGTGCTGCTCTATCCTCCCTCTCACCTACCTGGGATATCAACAACCCAGACAGGGAACTGCCTCTCGCCAAAACACTTCCCTGTGCCCCCGGCCCAAAACCCCCCCTTGTTTCAGCTGACAACCAGGACTCGACCGCGGTGCAAGCAAACAAAATTTGGCCCTTCCTTCTCCCAGACGAAGCGCTGGAAGGGGGGAGACCCCCCTGGGCACCAAGCAGCGGCCCCTCTGCCTACTCACAGCTCTCGGACATCCTCCGGACGGTGGATTTTTGGGAGAAGAGAAACCAAGAGCAGAGAACTGCTGGTTTCCAGCAGAGTCACTGACCCGGCCTGGCAGGGCCTGCCCTTGCCCTGTGCTCCCCCCTTAGTTTTTCAGCCCTTGAAAGCCAACCCGACCCCAGCACTGCCGGGGAGACCCGACCTCCCCGACGCCCCGGGAGAGCTCCTACCGACACCAGCCCCCCAGGGCGAGGGGAGCGAAGGTCCCAGAGCAGCGGGAAGGGAGAGAGCTGAAGGGGGGACAAGGACAGCGCGGGGACAGCCGGTGGCGGGGAGGGAGGCCTGTCCCCAGCCC